TCATTCTCTTCCTTGCAAAAATAAAATAAAAATGAAGCACTCAGTGTTCTTTCCTTCAAGCATTTTTCAGTGCACTGAAAGCAGAAATTATTCTTATCCATGAAGTAATTTAGCTTTTATGGATGCACTCATAAATTCACAGGAATTGTATTTCTGGAATATCAGTGGCCTCACAAATTGAATTGTTCAGACTTTTATGGAAACTATACTATATGTGACAACCCTCTCTAATACTCTGAAGAATTATGTAGTTAAACAAGTCAGCCACTCTATCAGGCAGCTGACTATTTCTATGGGTCAGCAATACGCAATTATGGATGACCTAGTCAGATGCTGCAAAGGAAGTTCAGAGGTTACAAGTAAAAAAGTAAAAAAAGAAATGTGGCATTCATGAGCAATGGCATTATCATGGATACTGGGTGGCTCATCCTGTAATAGGGGATGGAATATAAAAAGGAGGTTCTAAATGGGCCCCATATTCACCTGGCATGGCACATGGCCCATAGAGTCAACATTAACAAAAAATAACTGATCTTTCTGTGCCAAAACTAAAATCAAGAAGAATATGGCAAAAAAATCAAATAAGGATATATGCGAACAAAACAAATATTACTCTGCCAAAAAGAATGTAATAAATAAAATGTCAATTGGTAGGGATGGGGATTTTTTGGAGGGTATTTTCTCAGGAAGCAATGTTTCTAAAAATTAAATTTTGTTGTCCTTCAGTCACTGAACATCATGACAACTTGTAGCCAGCATTTATTTCTAATTAGAACTTGTATTATACAAACACTAACAGCTTTTTTCCTTTTAATATAATGTATAATGTCTGCTCTTTTACCACATATTAGCAAAGTCCACGTACTATATTCTTCTAAAAACTTAAGCTGCACTTTTAGTAGAAACCAGAAACCCCTTCAAACTTAGTTTATTGTATTGATTTACCCAAGTTTGGGAAGTTACAAAAAGGGGGAAACAAATGTATTCCTTGGTAAACATTGGTAGGGTTTTTAGGAAATGAAGCTGAACTTCTTAACAGGAAGAGTGAGAAGGGGCTTGGTGAAACTCAACAACTGGAAAATGGGGTGAGGCAAGATTGCCCATCAAGGGGAAGACCATCCACTCTCATGTTCTGCAAACCTCCGTGTTTATTAGGAAATCAATTTCAGTATGATTCCAGGTGCTCTATATCTGAAGCTGAAGCTGAAGAGATTGAGCTGCCAAACAATGGTGTGAGATGACAAAGATGCGAACATATTTTTAGAGCACTGCACAAACTGTTTGTCAAAATGACATCAACTCTCTAGTGCATTTTCTCGGACATTTCACAATGTTCCTTAAAATAACCATTAAACACTACTGCAAAGCTGTACAATACAGAGTATATATTGAAGATGGGAAATGGACGCCATTCACATTTTATCAATTTTTATTTAATAAAAAAGACAGGATCAGATTAAAAATACAAACACTTTGGGTGATTATCCAGCGTTTCCCTCTGCTTCAAAGTAATTAAACCAACCAATAAGCAAAATGAAAAACAAAACATCTTTTTAAGGTAATGTTTTGGCCAAAGCTGTAAAATAATGCAGAACCAATTAAATTATACCAAAATATATTATTATACCTTTGAAATGGCTTTCAGACCAATAAATTAAAAGAAAACAAATAAAAAGTCAACTTTAAAGACAAAAAAAATCTTTGCAAATTAAATAAGGGAAAAAAATTACACAGCACTAGTAATAATAATGTGCAGTCAAGAGTTCTGGTTCTTCTAGGAATGATAATATGCCAGTAAGTCCCTACAGAACATTTTCCAGTTTGGCAGCAATCAGTTAAACCAGTGTTTCTCAACCTTGATAACTTTTAAGATGTGTGGACTTCAACTTGCAGAATCCTGGGAGTAGAAGTCCACATATCTTAAAGTTGCTAAGATTGAGAAACACTGAGTTAATCAGTCATTCACATTTGTATACAAGATGACAGGCCTGGGCTACAACATAGATAGACCTAAGTTTGAGGGCAATTCTTAGTTCTTCCCAGGAGCTGTTGAGAGTTCCATTTTCTTCTCAATATTTATCAACTGCATATTAAACTGGGCTTGTTGAAGACAGGTAGCAAGTTAGCAGTGTTCTACTCTAAGATAACTGACACCAGTCCTTAGTTCTCAAAGGAAAAGGGTTTGCTTAGTCATGAATCAAAACATGGTCTTTATCTTAAAGCAAAATTTATCCAAATTACTGAGCTATGCTTTTTTTTTTTTAGTTGTGTGTTGAAACATATGTATCCTTCTAAGGTGGAAATCGCTTAATAAATGCCCTTACCAGTCAACCTAGTGAGGCTGATTAAATAAACAATAGTTCTGGGCTGCATATTTAGCACTTGGAATTAAAATTCAAAAAGACTTGGATGAGCTCATTATGAAGGTAAAAATAAAAAGTGAGATCATTCAAGTTAATGTTAAATATTAAGATGACAAAGTGTCAATGTAAAGATGTTTTTAGTTTTTTGAACTCTCTAAATAAAGATAAACTGTATACAATCTAAAGAGTAGGTTGATTAAGAAGGAAGTCAGTAACAAACATATAAAAAAAATCATGAAAGAGACCTCAATGTCAACAAAGTTCAGAATATTTAAAACAATTGTGATTGTAGTGGCAATGGATAGCTGTGAAAATGGATACTAAGAGACCATGAGAAGATAGATGACTTTGAACGATGGATTTGGGGTTTTTAAACATATCATGACTTGTTAGAAGAACCAGTGAATCAGTTCAAGCCCAAATAAAATCTGATTGCTCATTTGAGACAATGATTAGCGAGCAAAAATGTACATACTTAGGCATATGGTACAAGTAGATGATGGAATAGAAAAAAGAATTGCTTGGCAAGATTGAATGAAGCATGTAAGAACGGGAAGATAAAGGATATGGTAGGTGGATACAATCAATTACTATATTACTAGAATACCTTTGGAAGCATTTCTATTTAATATCTATGACAAGTCCAGATGGAAAGTACTATAGAGATACTATAGGCGTTTAGTGCCATTTTGGATTATTTGATCCAATATGTTTTGGAAGAATACAATGATTTTTCTGTTATTCAGGAAAAGGAAATTAATTAATTCACTAATCTTAATAGTAGCAACATGCTGCCTACAGATACCTGTCATGGTGCCCATCAGGTTCCCTGCTGCTTCTGTTTAATTTTTAAGACAGGATTTTAATTTTTAAAAGGAGAAGCTGATCTGCTACAAAGCAAACCGCTATAGGCTTCAAAGGCATTCTTAGAATATAAAAATGTTTGGATATGTGCACATCTGTCCAGAGATAATACAAAATTAAGCTGGAGTATACAGCATTCTGTGGACAGAAGCTAGAGAAGGCTTCAGAAGTCTTTTAGTTACAGTATGTAACTAACAGGATCATATGACATTCATTTTAGAAACATTAAAGTTCCCTCCTCACACCAGCTGCTTCACGAAAGCATCATAGTCCCCAAATTCCAAGTGCATCCACTTTTTCAAAAATATTTCCTACCTCTGATTTAATTGTGTGTTTAGACAGTTTTAACACAAAATAATTTCAACAAAAGTATGAGAACTATACAACCACACTGTCCGCTAATTCTAATATTTTAATATCTTTACTTTGAAATCCTTTGGAATTGACACTAGCTTCTGTAATTTTGGAGCTTCAAATTAAAGGGGGCCAATTATGTTCTTTGTAATGAAGCTGGCATAGCTTAAATGAAGGAAGTACTCTCAGCCTAGTTAGATCTGAGTTGGCCTATTTTTTCAGCAAAGCATTACAACACTTTAATTCTGTAAACTGTACTGTTACTGTACTGAAACTCTGAACTGCTTACTGGGATATGTGTGACCTAAAGTAAGTCAGAAGTCTCAATTGCCCAGGCCTATCAACCACATAGTGCCTATTTTAAAAAAGGCTTACATTCATTCATATAATCCAGTAAACCCAAGCGGTACCTTTATGGGAGTTGAAACCTTTAATTGCAATTTTAGAATTATGTCCATGAATCATGTCTTGTTTTCTCCAATTTGATTCAACTGATCTAATAATATAATCTATAATACACATATATTCTTAAATTGAATTTCTCATGAAGTGTACTACCCTATTATCTTGTTCTTACTCGTAAACAATACTCCTTCTAAATGTCTGTGGAGATTCTCAGTCATCCAGGTCATGGTTGTCCCAAAGATGCTTTTTCAAAAGGCAACTGGGCTTTCAGAACTGAAGAAACTTCTTGGATGAGAAGTGAAACATCTTCAAAGCAAAAACAAGAAAGCCCAATTGCCTTTTGAAAAAGCATCTTTGGGTGTATTCCTTCTAGTCATCCTCATCACTTTATTTCTTCTAGCCATTCACACCAGTGCCTATTAACAAGGCTCTGGAAATCTGTCCTAAAATTCCTGCGGTCTACAAGAACTAAACTCAAAGTCTTTAATAAAACTTAAATTCTGCAGCTCATTAAATCAATATTAGATCATTTTGCATAACATACTTATGGTCTCATAAATTGTCCTTTAGAAAAACTTTATGGTTCCTACAACTTACATAAATGCACAAGTGGTGAAAAGAACTTGTTAAAGGTTCTTGGCACCTCAAACAATTTATTTTTAATTGCAGACACACAGATTTCCAGAGTCCCCGCTAATGGGAAAATAATATGTTTTTTGTCTCTCAACTCAACATTTTTACTACATTACTATTTCTTGCTAACAGAAGTTCTACAAAAATGAAATATTTCCCACTTAAATTGCTAAATGCTTTTCAAAAGAAAATTATTATAACCAGCACTTCCAATAATTGGCTAGGCAAGTATGCCCACAATGTTTTTAGCAAGCAGCCCAGTCCTTTTTATGTATATTTTTTTAATTAGGATCTCCGTTGGTTGAAATTCAGGAAATTTCATTAACTTAAATGAACTTTCATTCATCAGTATGGATAATGATAAATCCATTTGCCAATATTTTATTATATTTAACTGTTGATTATTTTTTACTCTTAAAATTATAGCTTTTCCACTAGTTCGTTACCTTCCCTAACAAAAATTAAAAGTACCCTTTTCCAGTTTACATTTTATCTAGCTTCAACTTACACCACTGGAATATTTTATTTTTTTCTATCTGCCAGAGAGTTTTCTTCATATATTACCATAATTTCTTTGGACATTAGGTAGTATTTTAATTGCATAAATTCCAAGTTTGAATAATAAGTATGAGGTGGTATTTTGAAGGGCTTCTCCTTAGAACAATGTTGTCACTATCAGCTAATTGACAATTGGGCCAACTCCATCATAAAGGTACCCAAGATCCTTTCTCTCCAGTCCTACTTTTTCCCATCTGCTAATTAAGTTTGTTACAGATTTCCAGAGCCTTCTTGTAGACCTGAGTGACATCATCCATGTCTGTAAGAAGAGAAAAACTATCACTTGTCCGACTTCGGTAACGCTTCAGGTATTGTGGTCGTGAGCGGTTTTTTTGAAGTCCTTGCAAATCTTGGATCTGGAGGAAGTTCTCAGCTGACACACAGCTTCTTATTCTAAGTTTGCTCTCTTGCAAGTCCACCAAGTCAAAAGAGTCACTGGAAAGAATGCTGTCATCGCTAATCACACTAGAAGGGCGGCTGTAACTTCGAGATAATCCATCTACAGACAAACCTGCTTCCTCCATGCCTTTCGTGACTGGTCTATCAGAGTGGATCAAAGCTGAATGTGCAGTAGTGGTGGAATACTTGCTACTGTGTTTTAAAATACCCTTCCGTCTGTAGGAATGACTATAAGACTCTATTCTTAATGTTTCAATGATATTTGGGGATGTGTCACTGTTTCCTGCCTCCTCGTTATGATCCAGGAGTTCTGAAGATTCACTCCGTTCTGGAGATGAGTAATATCCAGATTCTCTTTGCTGAGTCTTCTTGAGGATTCCCTTTTTTGGCATTAAAGAAGACTGCTTAGTGCTGTATTTACCCATTATATCCCCCTCCAAAACGCTCTTAACTGGTACACCTGTTCTACATAATTCTTGTTCTTTTTTAAAAGCGGAGGGTAATACTGGATTGACTACTCCTTCTATGAATCCTGCACTGTGAGACCGATGTTCACTGTTGCTCCTCTTCTTCAAAATACCCTTTGGCCTCTTGGAATTTAATTTGCAGGAGTTGTCAACTCCTTCTTGGATAGACTGTGCAATGTCATTTTCCTTCTTTGATTTTTTTAGGGATCGCTGTCTCTCTAAATGGACTTCAGATCCTTTTGGTTTAGAAAGGCACTTCATTTTGGTCTCAGTCTCTGGCTGGAGGCCATTGGAACGATGATGCCAGTCTATGAATCTAGATAGCAGAGGGGACTCAGAGTCTTGCAAGGCATCACAATCACAAACAGTACTCTTATAGCCCCAGTTAACCCACCAATGGTTGGCAATGTCTTCAATAGTTGCTCTGCGCTCAGGATTCACCATCAGCATCCATCTGATCAGACCACGAGCATCTATTAACAAATAATATACATTAAAGACATTTGAGCCTATTTCAAAGGACTTAAACAGCTAAAGCTAAAGAAAAGAAATGTGAACATATCAGAGATTTTTTAAAATATGTAATATGCATTGCATTGTAGCTCAGTGAAAAACAAAATGATGCATTAATTTTTCAGCCTAGTTTTTGTTAATTGCTGTCATCAGCTTCCTTCTGTATATTTAATAAACTGTGACATACTTGTTGATGGTCAACCTAGGACTAAATTCTTAAGCCAATGATTTGTTCTCCAAGGTCTGTTATTTTTTTCTATTCACACACACAGAGACACACAAAATTCTAATGGCTGAAATGAATCTCCATCAGGTAACATTTTGTAACTTCCTTGCAAAGACTAAGAGGCTTTTGACAAGTATCTCCTAGCTAAAACAAATTTGAAAAGTCACTGTCACTTAGATTTGCTATGGTACATAAGAGAAAAAAGCAGCTATCTCTCAGTCAGTGTTTAGGACATTAGACATTATGATCAGCAGCAACATCTCAGCCTGTCAACAGAGACAAGTTTAATGCTAAAGTCTATGGCAATAATTACCTGGCAGCCAACATTTTAAGAGGAAAGCTGTAACACAGTTCAACCTATCTTCAAACTATCTATTATAGGAGTTCTGCATTTACAGAAATACAGGACTGAATAATGATTGGCCAGTAAGTATTAGATATAAAATTAGAAATTTAGTTTCAAGTCAAGGCAGCAGGATAACTCATGGTCATTGTTAGAATCTAGGTACCCCAAATCTGTGAGAAAGAAATTAAAATGAGTCACAGAACAGAACAGGCAAACGGCTTATTGGTGAACAATTTTCAATAGAACCTGCTTTATAGGGCTTCTATTTGTAATCTAAGAGGTGAAAACTGATTGAGAAGGAATCACAAAAAATGAAGTCCTTATGGTACCCACAAATTAAATATCAAAGAGAGTCTTCAAATTGTGACAAATATTCAACTGGATTGCAATTGAATATGTGTGTATTTATTTCTGTAGTAATCTTTTCAAAATGATTGAAAACAGTGTACAAATAAAAGAAGAAAACAAAAATAATTCCATATAAAATATAGTAAAACTAATAACAAAAATTCTACCCAACAAACAGGATGGGAACCAAATTCTCCAGATTCAGTGCCTGGGGAAAATATAGATTATGTATTGTCATGGTTTTGGTGCCTTAATTCCTTGAAGAACATTTCTACATCTCCTAGCTTGCAGCTGTGTCTATCTAATAGTACTTGTAACCCTCTAGAATCCACCCATTTCCTTGTACTATTCCCAAAAGCTTGTCTCTTCCTGTTGAGAAAGACTGTGGACATATACAGTGTCAGAATTCATATTCTCAAGTATGGACTTGAGAAATAATTTATGGCTTCTCCTTGCCCCTGTAGGGCAGCTGATAATACTTTCCAGCTATCATACATCAGAAATACTTGTTGCTTTAGACAGACCTTCCTCAAACCTCTCACAATATCCTTTTGAAAATCAAAAGCAGCCAGATAGCTGATGCAAATTGAGAATCCTTAGTTTGTATTGCAGTATTTCTGTTTTATACATCCAACTCCTCCATGCACCAAACATCAGAAAGGATGTAAAACAAGCCATTATAAAACCCTATTATGTCAATGCACTATGACACCTCTTTTATACCTGAGGGCTGTGTTGGCTCACGATATTCTCCACTACTGATCTGCCTGATCAGATTTTTGTGATCAAAGCCATCAAAGGGCATTGTTCCATAAACCAGAGTATAAAGTAAAACACCAAGAGCCCAGCTGTCAACCTAAAGCAGAAAGATAAGAAACATAAGGAGCAAAATAGGTGACTTCTGAAGACTCTGAAATTACTAAAGAAACAAAATATCCAGCTATCATTACTGAAGAATATATAAGTATTCTGTAGAAAATCCAACAATCAATAAACAATGAAAACAAGACTTTAAAGCATCTTATAAGCAAAGATTATTACTAATTTTAAATAATTACTAATTTAACCAAATTCCATACATACAGAATATTTACACAAATCAGCTATGTAAAATGAATTAATAAATAAATTTATATTTTTCATTCCATTTTTTAAACATTTCTTTCCTCTGAATTCAGTTTACCTCTGGTCCTCGGTAAGGTCTTCCATTAACAATTTCAGGAGATGCATATAGTGGACTTCCACAGAAAGTCTGGAGAAATTTATCTTTCTGATAAAGATTTGAAAGTCCAAAGTCTGCAATCTATAAAGACAAATTTAGAAGCAATTGGCTGTAACATTAATAAAAACTTTTTTCCATTCCGTTCCTTTTGTAGTTTCAGAATAGTAACATGAGGAGTTTATAACAGCTGTTATGTTTCTTTTAATTCTGGATTTCAGTTATATTCTATATTATATTTCAATTACATAAAGCATATATTAGTAAAACATCAAATCATTATGTGTCTTTCATGGACAACTCAAATGTACAGATATATTGTGAATAAAATAAACATTGGAACCATACAGCACATATTTTATGCTAAGACTATTTTTATGCAAAAAAATTGTTTGCATACACATTGTACTACTGATTGGATAAGAATACTGGCTAAAGGCTGCAAAATATTGCTAAACAGTATTCTGAAAAATTGGAAAATAAAAATTTAGAATGAAAATGAACTTCTAATATTTGGGGTCTTTCTTGGAATGAGGCAATTTGGAAGTCTAGTTGATCCAAATATGTGCTTAGAAATGAGAAAGAATGAGAAACTTCCCAAAGTTATAGCTAAATAAATTTTGGATGAATGACAAAATGAAAGCTGGGAGTTCACACAGAGAACCCCTTCTGTGGCAGAAGCCTATCATAAGGTTAACCAGAGGCCAAAATATATTGCAGTGTTTCTCAACTTTGATAACTTTAAGATGGATGGATTTCAACTCCCAGAATTAAAAGTTGCCAAAGTTGAGAAACGCTGATATACTGAAGCAGGATTCATGAGACAAA